CAATATGATGATGAAATTAGGACATTTCCACATCAGCAGAAAATAAGGGAATAAAACCAGACCAACCTTACAAGAGATGCTAAAGGGAGTCCTTTGGACAAAGAACCAACAGCAAACAACAACTGACCACTAACACACGATGATGTAACCCAGAAACCAACCCAGTTATGGAAGCATCCAAAGTAAATAAGCCTACAAGATTGTAAACAGAGAACCAGAGACATCAATTGACAAATGAGGACAACTTCAAACCAAAAAGAGGGAGAAAAAAAAAAAGTGTAATTACAGAACTTCTAAATGGTAGGGAAGTCAAGACAACTGTAAGACAGAACAGACTGTTCTAAACTTGGGAAGAAAATGATAAATCACAGGGTAACTGCAAAGAAAAATGATAAACCTTCACATCAAAACAGAAAAGAGGACAAGCATAAATATGTGGCAAATTATAAAACAACAGCAACAAAAATGTGATAACACAATTCATAAACAAAATGAACTCATCAGAGAAAATTATATGGAACAAAGAAATCAGGAACACCACAAAAAAGCACATAACAAAATAAAAGCAACAAATTCGTACTTGTTGATAACTACACTGAATGTCAACAAATTAAATTCACCACTCAAGAGATGGAGAACTGCAGACTGGATAAGAAAACATAACTCATCAATATGCTGTCTACAAGAGACACCCCTTAGAGACAAAGACAAAAATAGACTAAAAATCAAAGGTTAGAAAAAGATATATCAAGCAAATGGCAACCATAAAAGAGAAGGAGTGGAAATATTAACTGCCAGTAAAATTGACTTTAAGACAAAAACAACCATAAGAGACAAGGAAGGATATTATACAATGATTAAAGGATCAATTTAATAAGAGGACATAACAATAATAAATATCTAAGGACCCAATGAAAGAGCCCCAAAATACATAAACGAGACTCTAGCAGAACTTAACAGATGATTCCACAGTCATAGTTGTTGTTGTTGTTGTTGTTATGTGCCATCGAGTTGTCCCCGACTCATAGCAACCCCTCCTTGGGTTGCCAAGGCAATTTCACTACGGAAGTAGATTGCCCAGTCTTCCTTCCGAGGAGTGGCTGGTGGGTTTGAACCACCAGCCTTCTGGTTAGCAGTCAAGTGCCTTAGGCACTATGCTACCAGAGCTCCCATAGCAGGGGACTTTAATACACTACTCACAATCCAGATAGAACAACTGGAAAGAAACTCAACAAAGACACAGAAGAATTAAACACCACAATCCATCAACTTGACCTTACAGACATGTACAGAACACTTCATCCAACAACAGCACAATATACATTTTTTTCCAGTGCATATGGAACATTCTTCAGGATAGACCATATGTTAGGCCACAAAGCAACCCTCAATAAACTTAAAAACACTGAAATACTGCAAAGCATCTTCTCCGATCACAATACTATCAAATTAGAAATCAACAATAAGAAGATTGACGGAAAAAGAGCAAACACATGGAAACTGAACAACACCCTCCTTAAGAAAGACCAGTTAAGAGAAGAAATAAAAAATGAAATTATAAAATTCCTTGACTTAAACAAGAATGAAAATACAACATAGCAAAATCTTTGGGACACAGCAAAAGCAGTGATCCGAGAGCAATTTACAGCAGTAAATGCACACATTAAAAATGAAGAAAGAGCCAAAATCAATACCCTACACAACATCTCCAACAATTAGAGCAGCAAAAAAAGCCTACTGTCACAAGAAGAAAGGAAATAATAAAGATTCATGCAGAAATAAATGAAATGGAAAATAGAAAGACAACAGAAAATATCAACAAGACTAGAAGTTGGTTCTTTGAAAAGATTAATAAAATTGACAAATCACTAGCAGATTTAATAAAGAAAAAGAGGAGAAAACAAATAGCATGAATAGCAAATGAACTGGGCAATACCACAACAGAACCAACAGAAATTAAAAAGATAAGATCAGGAATTATGAAGAACTATACTCCAACAAATTTAAAAACCTAGAAGAAA